AAGGCGTCATGTGAACTGGCTGCTCTAATCGGGAACATCGTCCTCAAGGCCTGGTGGGCCAGGATGTGTTCCAGTCTCTCCTCCTCCCCCTTCATCTGCTCCTGTGTGCTCCTATCAGATATGTCCCTCTCCCGGAGCTGCAGATTCAATGCTGTCCTTTGAAATAAATTATTCTGTGGGGAGGGGCAGGTGTCCACATAGCTGGTATTGGGGCCGAACCCTCAGACCCCTCCACTGGCTTCCCTTCTTTCTGTTTTTATGATAACGCTCGTCTATACAGAGGAAGGTTTTGATGGAGGCGTGGTTTTATTTTGCAGCAGACTATACCCCACAGAAACAAAGGGCAATGACTTGGTCCACACCCTGTAGAAAAGTGAAGGCTCAGAATACACCCCGCCTTTATCTTGTCATAAGCATGACAGAGACCTCCCTCCAAAATGGGATTATAACTGTAGGCAAAGAGGCTAAAATTTATGACATCACAAAAGGGAGTCTAGATAAACCAAACACTGCCTTGAGTCAATTCTGACCCATGGTGACCCCAGAGGACAGAGCTCTCTCAGGAGTAGACAGCCCTGTCTTTCTCCTAGGAGCACTTGGCGGGGTTTACACGGCTCACCTTGTTAGCAGCGCAATGCTTACCCACTGCACAACGAGAATTCTCATGGATTTTTTGATAGAAGAGCCATAGTAAGTAATTTCCATTTACCACTCTGGTCTAGGCAGAGACTTAGCGTTTTTTCGTATAACTCAAGGGCTAGTACCATATTTAATATTATGTTTTAAAAAAATTCATACAGAAAGAAATCTGATGATAAAAGTAGCTATAGAGTCCCATTATATAGAAGAGTGAATAAAGGCTAAGAAGTTTATTACACAGTTTTTGCAAACACATAGGTACATGTTACAGTCTTCAATAATTAGGGGTGGGGGCTTGGAGGGAAGGTGCTGCCATTTCTGTTCTTTCTCTGCAGTCAATAGCTTATCTTCTCTGATACCGTATCATTTTTATTTTGCCATAACTGTTGTTACTTTTTCTTTCGTTACTTATGTTCTCTTCTTTCTGGCTTTTTAGCAGTTATAAACATCCCTTAACTGTTTTTGTTGGGTATTAGAGGGAAGCTGATTCTTTTCCTGAAAGGGGAGAAACATAAAGGTTTCATAGTGAAACCTTTTGTCATTTTGGAGCTTTTCCAGAAGTCTACATGTTCTAGATTTCTGGGTTTTGAGTATAAAGATGTGTTTCATTTATGGGTCTGACTTCTTAAAAGTGTGATCTATATACCTGAAGCGCTGGCTTTTCTTGTCAGGGAAAAAATAAAAGAGGAAAATATGGTAACTGTCTGCAGTAGGTTATCCTTCACTTTAGTAGGACTATCTCGACATGCCCCACACCACTGGACTCTGAGAAATTTTACTGAGGTTGAGGGTGCCTGAATCTTCATTGGGTTAATTTCCTAACCTCTTGTACGCACATATTGTACCAATGATTCTAGGGTTTTTGACATGCCCTCCTTAGTAGGTCCAATCAGCAATATAATGTCATCAATGTAATGGACTAGTGTGACACTTTGTGGAATAGATAGGCGATCAAGGTCCCTTCGGACTAAATTATGGTACAGGGCATTA